ATAAACGTCCAAGTGTAAAATACAACACGATTTAAAGCTGGAACATGATGAAAATGTGAAATTCCGGCGGTAGAAAATAACGGCGAAAACCAGGCCACACATAATTTATGACAAACATTGCACACTTTTCGTATGTTAAGTCTCTAAAGCGTGGTCATAGAGCAAGGCAAGGCAGTTTTCGGTTATTTTATTTTGAGTTCGTGGGAAAACACTTCACTTGCCGCACCTGAACGAGTTTACGTAGAAATATTACATTGGGCTTTCGTGCTGAACCACCAGATTACCGATTGGGCGGAAAAATATACAAAATTGATACTCGTATGTAAACTGTCGGGGTTTTCTTCATTTTTCTGGAAAAATCGTGAGCCGATTGAATAATCCCCAAAAAGCGTTATAATTAAATTAAGTGCCTAATGACACATACGCATTACAAAATGTTGGCGCAGAGTTGAGCCATTAAAAATTAATACCGCCGGTAAATTACTGTGCTGGTAAAAAGTTTGTCTTATGAAGCTTCCATTATGGGACTTTATGAGGGTAAAACGACCGGTGAAAGTTTTTATGAGCCCAATTTATTACAAGCGGTGCCATATTGTTAAAGTTGTGCCGAAAAATGCCGCAAAAACTTGTTAGCTGACACCTAAATGTAGCTACGTGATTACAACGAAAAATGTATGCTCCTGATTTTAACACTTTGTTTGCACTAATCTCATGAGTATTAATGAAATGTCCCCTTCTTCTTTGGTCCTTGATTATCACAATCTCAATTCGTCTCAAGCTGATCAAGCAGACAATTGATCTGGAATCTTTAGTTTTGTTAAAGCCTGTTAATATTTACCGTGTTATTGAGGATTTATTCAAGCTTCGAACGGATTTTAAACGATCCGAACTGCAGTAGCGATTGGATAGTTAATTGGGACAGATTAACTAGAAATTGAATTCTGAAGTTTAGCGAAGGTCGCGAAATTATGTTGCAAAACAATATCGGTTCTCGTGCAGATGGTTGAAATTAAATCCCTGTTTCCAATTTTCCGATTTGCATTTAAATTGCAACGGCGATTTATGCAAAAATAGCGACCGATTAAGGTTTGCTCGGCTCATTTAGTCGGCATAGTTTGACATGTAATGTATGACTTCAATTTAATGCACCCCATTTAACAATTTTGGACGAGAGCCCAAGACAAATTTATAAGCAAAGGTTAGAGCCTTAGCTATCAAAGAAAGCAGACCCAGAGAGACGAATTATTGGAGGAACGATGAGCTGCAAGAAAAAGGCAAAAGTTAAATCAACGATGGTTGAACACGAAAGAACAAGAGCACAAAAGGGAATATAGAGATATAACAACCAAATTTAAATAAGCGATAGTAGAAGCAAAAGACCAAAGCTGGGAAAGGAAATATCAGCAACCAAAAGGCTTGTAACGCTATGAGCGGGATTTATAGACATATTTCACATAAATTTGCTATTTGGACATATCGAATTCGTGTCCAGTTAGCATAAAAACCAGACAATTAAATCTTCTATTAACATTTACACCCCTTTTAGCAAAATTCGATGGACAGATAAAAAGGCCCATAACAAATTTAATTTCACATTTAATCTTTGGTCAACAAAAAAATGGGGCGCCTAATCAAATAGCATTCCCTCTGCACTGCAAAACAATCGCTCAAAATTGTAATTGCAGGTACAAAGCGGAATTTGAACAATCGAATAACATTTTGGTTAAAAAAGAAATGTATAAAGCTGCCGTCTGTTCAATTGCAATTGGACGCCATAAAAGGTTTTACAGGCTGGATGTCTATTTAAAACTCCCGATCGCATTTGATTAGCATTTTACAACCAAATAAACTACAAAACTGAATTAAGCACTGATGAATAAAACCTTTATAGATAACGTATTAAACTCTGAAAGCTGAATTTTACAATTAAAATATGGCTTTATGAAATTCCGTATGGGAATTTGGCGGAAATACTGTATGCAAACATTGATTTGAAGTTATGCGTATTTTGTTTGGAACTGGTGATAAATAGCGCACAAAATCCCATGGTAAGCTGGTAAGTGAGCAATTTGCTCTGTGAAACTTTAAATTTCGTTTGGTTTGATTATTTCGAACAATTTTTCAATTTCTTAATCCAGTTCTAAAACCGCCTCAATTTGGCACTTTTCTGCAGAATTAACCGAATTTGTTGGCAAAAGCTCACATATTTATCTATCTATCCAAACGTAAAGCGTCGACAATTTTCAGCTTGACGTCGATTCAAATTCCGAGCGTGATAAGCTCAGTATTATGTGCATCTTGTGAACAAAGTTACTGCGAAGTTTGCTGTATTATCGCCTTGACTCCCCATATGACGCTTTTGGAAGTTCCACTAATTAGAATATAAAGTGTTATGGGTATGGCAACATCCAGCACGATAAATTGGTTCAAGCGATTTAAATTTAACATTTTCCTTCGCTAGTTGGACTATTACGAGCTAGTTTTGTTTCCGTATTTAGACACGAAAAATTTCCTTGCAGTTGGCTTCCACCAGACTTAGTTTTTAATATGTTTTTTAAATTTTGGACGGTTTTTTTCTTTTTGAGGCCTAAACTTGAATCTCAATGATAAAAATTTACAAACTTTAGGTATACCACCCAACTTATCGTAAATTGAAACTAATGGGTTTTTCCAGTTTTTACGCCGTCGTAAAATGGAATTCATTTCTGACGTTTTGAAAGCACGAGTTGACTCTGAAGATGCAAGCCACTCGTGCATGCGAAACGTTAGGAAGAAATTCCATTTTACGACGGCCTAAAAACCCGAAAAACGCACTAGTTTCAAGGAATGTTTCTTATCGTTAATTGTTGTACGTTTTTGGGCTATTTTTACTATAAAAACCCAGCGTGGAAATGAACAATTCTTGCTAATTTTACAGCATAGTTTACTCAACAAAGTCCTTATGCTCACTATAGATTTGCAATTGAATGTATCTACTAAATGAATACATTTTCCGTTCATGTTCGATGGTAATTGTTGACCTATTTTCAATTAATTAATTTTGTTGTTTCAGGTGAGTGGCTTATTGCAGCTGTATTAATTGGCTATTTGCATTTATAGGTAAGACATTTGCTCATATAAATTGATGAACAATAGCGAACTTTTGGGTCTGAAACCAGGGCGAACTGGTTTGGATAATAGTTAAACCCGACAATATATCTATCTATTGTAGAAATGCTAAAGATTTTGTAAATGGAGGCAAAGTTGAGTTCGTACTATTTTTGTAAGCGTTTTAAGTGATCAGGCTGCAAAACATCTATTTTTATATCTAATTCTATTGTGGGATTGTTAAATTCTGACTACGTCTTTTTTTAGTGAATTTTGAAGTCAAACAGTTCAGCTTTTAATAATTTTATAAATAATGAATCCAATGAGGAGTAAATTTAGCTGCGATGTTTTTCTTTTCTTTTTACGACAGTTATGTAAAGAATATTTTTGTGTCCCTGACAGCAAGAACAGTCGAAAAATCCAAGCCAAAGCCACCAATGTAAAAAATAGTATTTTAACAAATTTAATCATTAGTTTTGAAGCCTTAAAATAAAATTTAATTTACTTTACTAAAGGCAGTCGACATGAATTAATATCTACACATTTTTTCTCTGATTTGATTTGCCCTTACCTGATGGATTTATGTAAGTGAAACACATAGTTTTAACACGTTTTGGGACACACTGTACATTTGTTTTCTTTGGTGGTGCCAAATTGCATATGTGAGAACTCGATGCAAATTTTGAATGACTGGAAAATAACTACTAAAACTAGAAAAACTAAGACTAAAAAACTAAATTAGCGATAACTTTGGAAAAATTATTCTCCAGTAGATCACAAGTGAAGATGTAAATAAACTGCCCAACAAAATGGACTTTACACGGTCAGATTTGCCCTGAATTTGAAACTGAATAACTTCTGATTGTTGTTAGAGATTTTATTTATGTTTAAAGTGTTATATAGATCGAAACTTTGTTCTGTCAGTGCGCGTTTTGGCWAAATTTTTGTACTTTAGATAAAGTTTCTACACTGTGGTTAATGAGAAAATGCAATCTTCTTCGGCAGMTTTTCAAGAAAATGAAGTTGACTTTCAGACTGTTCGCTCACTTATGACACCTTGTATATTGAATTTTTATYTTAAGTGGTCTGTTAAGTTTTTGCTTCAACATGAGTTCTATCTTTGTGRTGTGGTCTTTCAGACCACTTTGTAAGTAAAACACATAAGCAAAAAMTCCTRAAACCATTTTTAGCATTAAGGTCTGTCTTTATGCCTTGGGTGTTGAAATCAAACAGAACGATGAATTTTTCTGCAATTGGTAGAAGGCCAAACTTTTGAATTGCTTCTTTAYSCACCCTGTATACATTTTACTAGAAGTACTAATTCGTGCAGAACGAGCAACTGAGMACAACMGAATTGTGCTAGAGAACGCTTCCAAGCGCAATAAAATCGCTTCCAGCAATCGGAAGTTATGCAGCTCCAAATTTAGGGTAAATTTGGCCGTGAGGATTTCATTTTGTTGAGCWGTTTAAATTRAACAATTGGGTATTAATGAKAGTTCATATATTGAKTGAGAAAATTTGTTATACTTTGACTAAAGTAGATTAGCAWMYGCTTYCTGRATYMSGAAATTAGAWWTCTCMAATCCCGTATTCTCCAATTAAATTGCTATTCCAAAATATCGATGCCAACCTTGCAACTCGTCAAACTGAAGCATTTCAAGGTTTTTAATCAATCTTGGAAACTGATGCAATAAAGCGCTCGTAACTGCAGCTTCAGATTTTTTTCAACTAATAATGAARCGCTCTGATGGTAATATTTGSATATATTTTGCAATSCTCATCTACAAATTAAAAATGATTGTACGGATGRTCAACGTAGGTGTRCCATATGTAGTCCCAAAAAGCAGTTTCTTTGGCCTTTCTATGSGATTTCATCACTAAATCATCTCCAATAGCCAGATAGTTCAACTCTTCTGCATCAAACTGGTCCCATGTGATTTGTCGTAAGAGATCTGCAGTGTTATCATTGGGAGTAGGATTTCTATAAGGAAATTAAGTTTTCCCAAATGGAAGTTTTGGGATTAATTTTACTCACTGGGTTTTCGCAAAATTTGTCCATAACTTCACAAGCCTCTTTCGAGTTAAGTAATCAGCCTCAGTATGAATCGGGCTGGTTGAAACGTTGAAAAGATACGGCACTTCTTCAGCGTGCGATACTGTGCCACATCCTAAAAAAACAAGTTGCATGCCCAAATATTGATGGGAATTTGAGTGAATTTGCCTGCTGCTATTTCTTCGTACATGGGTTTGCACAGGAAGCACAGGAAGTCTTTAATACCAATATTCGATGACTGGCTTGAACTACAGCGAATTAAAGCTGTGTTTTCTCGAAGGTTGTTTATTGCTAGCAACTTACCAAGATTTCCTTTGATTGTATTTCTTTAGCAATAGTTACTAATTTCTCAGCATCTACAGCTTGTAGAATGCTCAAAATGTTCTGCGAACTGCTGGTGGTAGATATTGAGGAATTTATCTGACTGGCAACAGCCAAAGCATTCTTATTAGCATTGCTTTGGAAATAGTCTCGTAAGGCGCTTCCGCTTTCCAATATGGCACCGCTAAATAAATCTGCAATAAATCCGCAATTAAATAATTCGATCAATTAAACTCGTCTGGTTTCTTACCTCTGGACTTTAGACTAACCAGATGATATCCGACCGACATGGCGCCGGCACTTTGCCCAAAAATTGTTATATTCTGAGGATTACCGCCAAAAAAGGCGATATTGGTCTTGGTCCATTTCAAAGCCATCAGTTGGTCCTTTAGAGCTGCATTTCCCGGTACTATTTGGTCTTCCGTTGAAAGAAACCCAAAAACATCTATAAGAATTATTCATCATTTTTATCTTTGCTTGATGGAATTTTGCATTTGTCCTACTTAGCCTGTAATTGAATGTGACCACTATCACGTCCTCCTCCAAAAACGGTGTAGGATCATAATAATCAAAGTCTGAATTCCCAGCAAAAAATCCTCCACCGTAAATCCAAAACATGACCGGACGAAGAGTCTGTGATTGAAATACTGATTTTTAAAAGTTGCCGGTATTACCAGTAATAAAAAAGTGTGTCATCAACACTGAGGAGAAGATTATTTTAATTCAGTTTACTTTGTATGTATACTAAATAGTTTTAGTGTCTTCAACAGAAACTTTCAGGTTTTAAAAGCTAATCGACATCATTCTGATCCACATTTTTTCATTATTTGCTGCAAATAGCTTCCCGTTTCTTCTGTCTTGATTGATGGGCCTCAGTTCAAATAATAAATGTAAAACACAGTTCAATATTTCGATTTTCAGGGCATTTTTCTATCAACAGTTTGCAATTTTATGTTTTCCAACTATATTCCCAAGTTACTTTGCGTTTTTCCAGCCGTAACACTTTTCAATAATTTTTTGGTTTTCTCTTGATGAATGATTTTACATTTACATTAGGTATTGTCTGGATAAAATCCAGATCCCCTTCACTCACCTAACTACCACTCAAGTGGATTCAGTGATTTTACGAACAATAACGAATTGAAGAGGTGCAATAATAATCACAAGTCGCAGACGATTTGTTAATAAATTGATGGTAAAATGTCGAAAATATACCTGGTTTAAATGAAATACATTATTAAGAAAGTGGGACCTAAAGCAACAGAATAATTTTTACTTACATCATCAGCCATTGGTGATGAAGAGTAAACGTTTATGTACAAACAGTCTTCACTTTGTCCATGGGTCGGATCTGGAGTGCCCGCAAATGTTCCAACTGACCAACAGGCGGGCGAATCTTCCGTTCCATTCAGTATATCCGTCCAATTATCTGGTGCTTCTGGTGCCTGTTTCGCAAAGGCTATTTTATGTATCACAATTTCAGATATTTTCGTTACTTTTAGCTTAAATGAGGTGGAACTAGAGCTGGTCTTTGGGTTACAATGTCAGAAACCGTTTAAAGGTAATTAGAAAGAATTAATTCAATTTCTGCACTTTTTTGCGATATCTAATCGAACATCCAATACAGATATCTAAGAATAAATTGTTAGGAGTTGTTGTGTAGACGTACTAAAACAGGACCTAAAGTAATTATAAGCATGTTACCAAAAATCTGAGATCTCCTACAGGAGGTTGAGCGTAGGGAATGTGCCTCCAAGTGTAGAAACTAGTTCCATTAGCACTTGTGTACGATGTTCCTTGAACTTTTCCATTCGCTATTGTCACTATGAGATCCTCAGCCTGAAAGAATAAAATCCGTTGTAGCTTCCAGTTAAAGCCGTTAATTTATGTCCTTTAAAGTGTCTAGTAAAGAAGTTCGCCATCAGGTTGCTCAGGTGATTATGCTGTTTAACATGCTGGACATAGAAATACCATTTTTAGAATGTTTCTTCAAATTAACGCAAAAAGAGACTTAACTTAGAAAGTTTAAAAATATATTAAGACGTTAATTTTCATCTGACTTTTCTCTTTAAACTCGATTACTAATGAATGGTTTTCGTTTTATGTTGCAGTTTTGTTTGAAAATGTTTTTTTTATAAAACAATTCTAATATGAGTACACGTAAAAATATCTGTTTTGTTCATTTTCCAGATCCGCAAAATTTTTGTTTTAATTATATACTTACTGAACACTGTGAAAGGAGGGTAAACAAAACACATGCTAAAACCGGCCACATATTGAGACTTTGAAAGTTGGTACCGGATAAATGCATATTTATATTTAAAAAAATACTTATCTGACCAATCAACTCAAATAAAAAGTGCACTTGGTAGACACAAGATTACAGGACATTCGCCTTGAGATAGTGAGTATGGTGTTTCAGACCGAGAGGAAAGATTAGCAATTTTTTGCAGATATTTTTGCGCATCTTTTGCAAATTTCGTTAGTTTTAGCTTCAAAATATGTCGCTTCCTCGTCCAAAATGATCAGTTTATTTTCTCTATCGGACATTTCATGTGTTTTTTATTCATAGATTCGTTCAAACCTGTTTTGCTCTACTAATAATAAAACTCGTAAAAAGTACTCAATAAAATATATTTTCAATTCGTTTATTTCTTACGAGAATATCAGTTAGTTACTAATATTGGGACATTAATCATCGTAACATGTTATTCTTGATTTTAGTGGGTAAAATCAATATTAACGTTCGAACCAGAACTCGAGATTAACGGGTTAATGTCGAGATTAGCCGGGCTCGAACTTTACCCCCCACATAGTTAAAAAATTACTTATCTGACAGATCAAATGAAATAAAAAATGCACTTGGCAGACACAAGATTACAGGGCATTTGCCCTGTGAGATGATACTGGTTTTTGAGACTGCGAGAAATGATTAGCAAATTTTTCAGATTTTTTGCGCATCTATCAATTTTTTATAATCAGCAAACTTTGCTTATTTCTACCGAAAAATCTGTCGCTTGATCAATTGACACTTCACACATACTTGTACTCGGGTCTTTCCGTAAAAAAAACTGGAAAACAGTAATCAATAAAATATATTTTCAATCCGATTTCCATAAATTAAAAATGATTATACGGATGATCGATGTAGGAATCCCATATGTAGTCCCAGAAGGCAGTTTCGTCAGCTTTGCGATTGGATTTCATCACCAAATCATCTCCAAAGTCCAGATATTTTAAACTTTCTCTATCAAACTGCTCCCATGTCACATGTTGCAACAGATCAGCAGATTCATCATTGGGGGTGGGATTTCTGGAAAAAATTACGTTATTACCTTCCGTTGGAGTTTTTCGAACAGTCCGCTTACTTGGTTTTGGCAAAGTTGGTCCATAATTTAACAAATCGTCTTCTAGCCAGATAATCAGCCTCAGTTTCGATGATTTTAGAGGAAATGTTGAAAAGATATGGCACCTCTTGGGCATGAGCCACTCGGCCACATCCTGCGAATATTCTGAGTAATATCGGCTTGCAACCATAGACTCTGTCCTACTTACCAGGCACTTCAAGATTGTTCCTGCTGGGGGTGCCAAAGAATGAAAACTGGTAAAAATACACTGGACTAAACTGGGAGTGAAGTACTGCGTGTTTGATGCTAGATCTTACGAAGGTGCTGTCGCTCAAAAACTAAAAAAATTGCTAGTTGAGACAAATTGAAACTAAGGAACAACCGGCACATACTCTGATGAGAGCACTGACATCTTCGACAAAGCTCTTGTTTCCGGCATACTCTTGTTTAATTTCGAAAGCTACATCATCAATATCCACGTCTCCTCTAAAGTCGCTATTCGGCAGCAATAGTTTGAGGTTGGCATCGTAGGTTTCCGCAGTCTCTTCAGCAGCTTCCAGAGCTGCAAGAGGTTGATTAAGTGCCACTTTTCAAGTCTTCTTAAAGTGCACTTTACTTGAAAATGAAATCAGCTCTTCTTCAGAATTCGTGCCCACTATTACGGGAACTTGAGTGAAATTTCCTGCTGCCAACTCTTCATACATTGATCTGCTGAGGAAGGCGGCTTCATGCTCATATTCCAGCACTGGTTTGAACTGAATTGAAACCATTCTTACTTGACGCTTTTTGACAAGTTCTTGAACTCACCAAGGTGTTGTAGTTTGATTGTGTTTCTTCGGAAATGCTGATTAATAGCTCAACATCTGTGGCTTGCAGTATTCTCAAGATCTCTAGCGAACGACTTTCTGCAGTTAATGAAGGATCTATCTGGCGGGCAACAGCTAAGGCATTGTTTCTAGCATCGCTTTGGAAATAGTCCATCAATGCGCCTCCACTCTCCAAAATGGCACCGGTAAATAAGTCTAAAATCAATCCATTAAAGACTGGGTTTGGTGCGTTTTTCTGCTTACTTCTGGATTGTTCGCTAACTAAGTGATATCCCACCGACATGGCGCCGGCACTTTCTCCAAAAATGGTTATATCCAGAGGGTTACCGCCGAAGAAAGCGATATTTTCTCTAGTCCATTTCAAAGCCATCAGTTGGTCTTTTAATGCCGCATTTCCCGGGGCAACTTCGTCTTCAGTTGATAGGAAGCCAAACACGTCTTACACAATCAGGGAAATGTTAAATTAACGGGTTTATAATTTTTTCTCGATGATCGACTACTCACTTAGCCTGTAATTGAAAGTGACCACGACTACATCGTCCTCCAAAAGTGGTGTAGGATCGTAAAAGGAAAAATCCCCAGCGCCAGCGAAGAATCCGCCACCGTAAATCCAGAACATTACTGGGCGAAGCTCCTAAGCCAAAAAACTAGTTACAGATCAGGTCTATCATTATTTAAATAGGGAAGAGAAGCACATTTGGAGTTGAGTTCAAGAAATTTAATTGTGCCCATGAGAATTGTTCAACAGTTGAAAGGAATTTTTGCAAGTGAGAACATTTGAAGCAAATGGTTGAAAATTAACTGAAGCAAATATCTTCGCAATTGTTTCTTTTTAATGTTGGAACAATACTCATAAGGCACAATTAAATATTTTCAACTCAATTCCAAATGGACTGAGTGATCAAAAATGGAAAATCTGACCAAACTTCATCGACATTTCAAATTTACATTTGTAAGTGATTCATAGATCGTCAATTCTCTACGGTCTGCTTTGCCTGTTTAAATAGCCACCACTCAAATAGATTGGATGATTTTGGGACATAAAATATTTCAAACTTTGGCAAACTGAACAAGAATGCATTAAATCCAAGCTGCATATTTGTTGGATATTAATAATAGAATGCGCCTGCTATAAGCGAATATGTATGTAGATAATCCAGTTAAAATACATTTGATTATTTCGCATGCACCGATAACGAACTAAACAGTTTCAACTAGCATTTTGAGCAATTTATTCTAATTTTTTTGGTAGATAAATAGTGAAAGAAAATATCTGGTTTCAAAAGCTCCAAATTCACATTTACTTACACCATTCGGGATTGGTGAAGAAGAGTAGACGTTTATGTACAAACAGTCTTCGCTTTGACCGTTGGCGGGTTCTGGATCGCCTGGAAAAGAGCCTACAAACGTGCACGCTGGCGCATCTTTGGTTCCATCCAGCACATCCGTCCAAGGCTCTGGTTTTTCGGGAGCCTGTCATGAAAAACGATTTTTTTGCTTAATTGTTTGCAGTTTTAGCGCTGTTTTACTTCAGCGATGATTCATTAAAATTAATGTGTTTTTGTCGCTTAAACAATGGTTGAATTAGGACGATTCTTGAGAGCGAATTACGATTGTTAAACTTTTTTTTAGTTTAAAACTAGTTTACCAAAAATCTCAGTTGGCGCAGAGGTGGTTTCGCGTACGGAATGTGCCTCCAGGTGTAGAATTTATCGATGCCATTGCCACTGGAATACTCTGTTCCTTGGACTTTCCCATTCTGTGTCTCCACTATAAGATCCTGGGCCTAAAAATTCAAGTCTCCTGTTAGTGGCCCTCAACAGTAGGGAATTTTCAGTTATTTAGTTTGAGTGTCTACTAGCTTCTTCTTGCATCATTCCTTGCGTCAGACTAAAGCGCGTGCTTATGATCAAGACGATTTGAAAACATCTTGAGATAGTGGCAATAATTATGCAATAATAGTCAATACGTAATATGCCAGAAATAATTTATATCGGTAGCGGATAGAAAATCATGAAAATAAGGCTATTTGATGATAATATTCGGCCAAGTTATCCATATTTTATAGTGTTAAATAATTAATGTCTTTAATGGGATGGATGCGTCAACCTTCATTGCATCAGGGCCCATTTAAAATGTAAAATTGTGCCTATTTTCAAATAAACTAGAGAATTCGCTACTTCAATCTTGCATGCACTCTAAATATTATTTTTTTCTTCTGGAAAATTTCCAGCGTAACAAGGAAGAGTACTATCGTAGGTTTGGAAAGCCAGCAAAAGTGCTTTTAAGTTTATTTCCCCTGTTCAAATTCTTATAGGGTTTAAATGTGTTTGTACTCTCAAAATTTGAAATAATTTCTTACTGAACACTGTGCAACAGCTGCCACTAAAACCCATGCACAAACTTTCCACATTTTGAGACACCAAAAGTGTACCACCCGCTTTCAGTCTCTATTCATTATAAGTATTATGGCAAACATTTTTTAGATAGCTTATCTGGCACTCATGCTTGGTGATACTTCTGGTAAACACTCAAAAACGAGATGAATCGGTTGACGGATTTTCATTGATCAGAGCTACTGCTTAAAAAACACTCAAAATTGCTGATTATTTTCGTTTTATTCGGAACTGAACGATGTAAGATGGTTTGTCCAATGCGGTCCTTGAGCTTATCATTTTCGGTTTCCTTGCGATGCAAGTGACACTTTTATCATTCGAGGTATTTTGAGAAAGTTGGTGTTTTTTAGATGCTCCAGATCGCGTCTTACAACCGGTTTACAAAATGTTGGTTGAATTTCATTTATCAGATTTTTCAACGGTTGTGTGATAAGAGGCTTTTTCATAATCTGTAATCCAAACTTAGAGGATGCATTTTTGAAAACTCTCTGTGGATGGAATATTTTTTGTTACCCTCCATCCTTGTGTCCTTCATGTTTAAAGAGTTTAAGGTCTATGCAAGAACTGCAAGCGAGTGCGAACCACACAAGTAATGGCGACCAGTAGAATAACCTGCATGCTTACGCCTTCCGCTCAATTAAGTATTATTTAATCTGGGCCACACGATCGAGCTCTAGGAGCTCCTTCGAACACCCGCCCAATCCTTTGCTCCCCGTTTGTCCTGCTAGAGAAACACTGCGATTCACGTGGAGATTTTGGTACATTTGGCAACCACCCGCGCTATTGAGTAGTCGAGTAGTATCGGTTATTTGTTATTATCGATCTTTAGGCGACTTTATAATAATATAGTGTGTGTAATACATTTTGCTTTTGTGCATGGCCAGTTAGCTGGAAATTGATACACGCTAAAGTTGCCGATGTTTGATCCACTAAAAAAGACATTATAAAAATAAATAATATATTTTCAATCCGACATAACCAATAGATTAAAAATGGTTATATGGATGGTCAGTGTAGGTGTTCCATATGTAGTCCCAAAATGCAGTTTCGTCGGCTTTTCTGTTGGATTTCGTCACTAAATCTGCCCCAATGTCCAAATATTGCAAATCTTCCGCGTCCAAAGGTTCCCATAGGGCATGCTGGAGGAGCTCAGCACTATCATCACTGGGAGTAGGATTTCTATAAAAACAATGAATTAGTTCTTCCCTTGGAGGTTTTGTCGTCTTTTGCACTCACTTGGTTTTGGCAAAATTGGTCCATAGTTTCACCAATCTTCTTCGAGTTAAAAAATCAGCCTCAGTTTCGATGGTTTTAATGGAAACGTTGAACAGATAGGACAGCTCATCGCCATGAGCCACTCGGCCGCATCCTGCAGAACGATAGAAAAAATATCGAAGTGGTTAACACTAAAATACACCCAACTCACCGGGGATTTCAAGATTCTCTTTGCTTGCAGTGCCCCAGAACGAAAATTGGTAAAAATACACTGGGCTAAACTGAGACTGTAGTACTGCTTCTTTAATTATTCCTCTCACCAATTTATTGTCACTCAAAAACTGAAAAATACCGAACTAAAGCATTTTCCTTGAAATCAGAGAGCTGTTGCACACCCTGACAAGAGCACCGACGTCTTCCTCAAAGCTTCCATCCCCCGCATACTGTTGCTTAATTTGCAAAGCTGCCTCATCAGGATCGACGCTATTTTTAAAATCGATATTCGGTAGTAGCAGGGTGTAGTTTAAGTCGTATGTTTCTGCAGCCTTTTGAAGATCAGCCAAAGCTGTAAGGGATAATTTCAAAAAAATGTTCTCGACTAGCTGAGGTTGGTACAACTTGAATAGACTTTCAGCTGCTCTTCGGAGTTGGTTCCAATTATTGTGGGAACTTGAGTGAAATTGCCTGCAGCTAACTCCTCGTATAATGGCTTGCAGAGGAAGGAGTCTGCATGCTCATACTCCAGGATGGGTTTGAACTGAAGCCAATTAAAAATCCAGTGAAGTCCAGAAAGTAAGAATTTTCCCTTGCTTACCAAAGTATGGTAATTGGACTGCGCTGTCTTCGAAATATCCACTAATAACTCCGCGTCTACTTCTTGGAGGACTTTCAAAATTTCCCGCGAACTGCTTGCAGAAGTAATCGATGGATCGATCTGGGTGGCTATAGATAAAGCATTGCTTCTCCCATCTGTTTGGAGCACGTCTAATAATGCGCTTCCGCTCTCCATTATTGCGCCGGTAAATAAATCTGAAGTTGTTCAAGATCAGTGGAAACTCAAAATTAAAAAAAATCTTTGACCCCACTTCTGGACTGTTCGCTGACCAGATGGTACCCTACCGAAGTGGCACCAGCACTTTCTCCAAAAATCGTTATATCCAGAGGATTTCCCCCAAAGAAGGCAATATTTTCTCTGGTCCATTTCAAAGCCAAAAGCTGATCTTTCAGGGCAGCATTACCGGGCAGGGTTTCATCTTCGGTCGAGAGGAAGCCAAAAATATCTTCAAAAATACAGATTAGCGAAGAAATGGAAATTTGAGGATGGCTAGAGTTTAGTCATAGCTTGGCAATTTTTATTGTATGCATTATATGGCAAAAATTGTCGAAACATCGACAATATCTGCTCACGTTTCGAGAGGAAATTGATATAAGCTGCCGGGATTATAATGCAAAGCATATAAAAATGAAACCTTAGTGTTCAAAGAAGAAAAAGTGGTAGGCCAGACAAGTCAGGGAAGAAGAATGACAAACAGTGAGGTCTTGCTTACTTAGTCGATAATTGAACGTTACCACTATTACATCGTCCTCCAAAAGTGGTGTAGGATCGTAAAAGACAAAATCTGCGGATCCAGCATAGAATCCTCCACCGTATATCCAAAACATCACCGGACACAGTTCCTGCAATAAGTGATTTGTTGAATTGGTTCGACAGAACGGAAAATGTCTTCGTACATCCGGCTCTGGTGATGAAGAGTAAACGTTGATGTACAAACAATCTTCGCTGTAACCGTAGGCTGGTTCTGGATCACCAGCAAAAGATCCGACAAAGAAACAGGCTGGAGAGTCCTTGGTACCATCCAGAACACCCGCCCAAGCATCCGGCGCCACTGGGGGCTGTTCCACAAGCAAATGTTTATTTCCTTGTGTTTACAAAGAAATTTGCCTACCAGAAATCGCAACTCGCCTAAAGGAGGCGTGGCGTAGGGAATGTGCCTCCAGGCATAGAAATTATGGCCATTTGGACTGGTATAAGAAGCTCCCTGAACTTTTCCATTCGGCAGTTCTACTATAAGATTGTCGGCCTGAAAGTATCAGAGTGCGATTACAACTCTTGTGTCCTCAAAAAACGACCGGTTTGTTTAAGCTCTAAAATTATGTCCTATTGGGTAAATCTAGAGCTAATTTCTTACGGAGCATTGTGAAAGAACTGCAAAAACACATGCAATAACCCGCCACATGTTGAGCTGTTTTCAATGGAAATCGTTGGTTGGGACTGATTGAAAGTGTCTGCTTATGTACTTAATGAGAGTGTAGGTACTTAGATAACTTATCTACGCTTCATATACTTGAAGTTTAATTCTACTTGGTAAACACTTAAAAGCCGAACTCTTTAGTCATGTGATGAGTTTCTTCTTCAGCTTCTTAACTGGTAAATGCCCAACTCTGCATGAAAAAATTGACTTGTTTCCTAATGAATGCTTCCAACTGTAAACTTCCCTCCTCTGTTACCACAGAAGAGTTGCAGATGCCACATTTTAATGCTGTCTTAAATCGAAAAATTATAATAAAACCAATCGAAAAAAAATGAAACTGCACCGAATGATTTTTCACTTTTTACCAAGACCAGATTCGATGGTTTTGTGCATTAACTTTACCTCCGGGAGAGAAGTTGGCATCATCCGTCCATGAAATGCGCCTTAACCACTAAAGCAAATTTCCATCTGTGTTAACAGTTGGAAAGAAAAATTAGCCAGTGTTGGATATGTTGGTTGATTAATCTAAAGAATTTTTGCCTTCAATGTTGACGCCCATTTAAATTCCTCCACGTCTTTATTAGACCCTCTGCCTGTGGCTTGATATTGAAATATTTAAAAGAAAGTCATGTTAAACCTTTAAATGCTACACAATATATTTATCACTTTTCTTTCCCCGCTAATTCGAATTTCCGCATAACAATGGCCCAGGCTGTGACAAATAAAGCTGGCGCATTATTAAAAGGAGGAAACCCCGCATCCAGCAAAGTTCTTAAGTGCAAATTCAATTATCATTTCTAAGTCGGGTCAACTTCGTCGGTGAATAAGCATTTTTAATCCTATTAGAAGCTTTACTTACTTAAATCACGCCCGACATTGTCTTCAAGTTTTGTTGTCGAGGTTAAACGGAAACATGTCGTGGGAGAAGCCTTTGTGGAGTGTCGATTATTGCCGCTTAAATATAATATGTCCGCCTTAATTCACTTGATGGGTTTTAAGGAGGTTTAGTGGTTTCGGCGTTTGTAGGCTTTCCAAGAAAATTGCCTATGAAACTTTTCATGTTCTGCAATACTTTTCCCCGTTTCGCAATCAGCAGTTTTACATAACTTTTGCATTAGGTGTACCCCGACTACCTCAATGTGATTCCAAAGTGTGCAATAATTCCATTTTTCCAGCGAAAGCAGAAAAAATCCCCGATAATTTTAATTGAAACTCTTTTATAAGGATTTTACTTGGTAATCTTTTCATTTAGCATTAAAGGTTGCACCGGACTATCACACTTAATTAGTTTTCGCTTCTTTGTTGCATTTGATTCATTTAGGTTTTCGTGTCCGTTTAATTGTTAATGTTGAAGTAAATAAAAGGGGCAATAATTTTCAAATTGCTTCAAGGCTTGATGGCGCTCCAATTAATGCCGCTCCTGTTTAGCTTCAACGCTGTTTTTATCGGTTTTGCTAGATTGTTGCAATTTTATTGCTTTTTGCTGGAGGAATGTTGTTCTTGGTCAATTTTTCAGTTTAAATTAATTAAACGCTGGAAAGCTGCCAGTGAAGATAAACTATTAAACTTGCGTAGTTATGGGGCCAACAAAGTGAATGTGTTTATTCAAAGAAAAAAGTAATCCACTTAAATAAAGTAGAACTTTTTAATGGGCACTAATTGAGACGTTTTAAAAAGGTCGACTCCCCTAACTGAATCGAACCGACATTAAACTTTGCTTTTATGTAAAATTTTATTATAAAGTTGTTTAATGGCTGGAAAGTCGAAGTGGAAAACAGTGGGGTAAATTATTTCACGTTAGTTTTAATCGAGAACTATCGAGTTTTTAAATGGAAACCGATTTAGACTATCTTCCAGTGCAAGTCCAGCTTTATATGCTTTAACAGTGAATATTAGCTGGCTGGCTTGAGCTACTAAAGGTTTTATTAATTGTATTTGTGAAGGCAAGCAATTCTAATGTGCTATGATGGGATTGTAGACTAAAAATCGAAAATTTGTTTTTGGAACTGTAGGTTCTCATTTGTGTTTGATTGATTGGAGTTACTGGCACTTTATTCACTTCTGTTCCAAAATGATTCCTTCTAACAGCAAGAATTAAAGGATGCAGCCCTTACTGCTCTTTGTATTTCAATATTATCTGCCTTGATATTTTCCCTTTTTATTGCGACGTTTGTTTCCAGTAGATATTCTTGAATATTTAGTTTTCTTTAGTAGTTGAATTAGTTTCTTTTATAAACTCTAAATAACTCTCCCTCAGAGTGATTCGCTCGCGCGTTTCAAAAGCGTTTCTGAAGCCGAAAGGAGAAACTTCAATTTATGTAGACAAAAATGTAAATCCCCACTCATCTGGGTGATGAGGTTCATTTGACGATAATCTGCCACGTTTTTTTGTTGCTTTTTCGGGTTTTTTACTTTTGGCTATAGAGAAAGCTTATAAATACTATTCTCTAATTATCATCCAGACTAAATGGGTTCTTGTTTTGTACTCCCGATAAAGCCGAAAGAAAATCATTTAGTAAAATCGTTTTTCCGTCGCCACAAAAACAAACGATGTAATAATAGGCAGTTCGTGCGTCGATTTGATTTTCATTTCCTCCCCCAAAAAAAAACCCGAAACATTAGGGTAAAGATTAATGCTTTGAACTTGAATGGGCGGCTTGTTTCCGAATTTAACACTTTTTGCCCGACTCAATGTATTAATTAATCTGAGTAACCCGGATGGGAAAAAATTCGCAACAGCTACAGTCAGATCGTCGTTCCCCATTGGCTTCTAGATATGGCTATTTCGGAAGATGACTTTTGTAATTGATTTATTCTGGATTGCGCAGAAATAGAATAACAGGAGAAAGTTTTCGGATATTTAAAGCACTCCAGGGACAACCCTTGAAATGAATTCAGTTTCATCTCGGTAAATTCGGCCCACGCCGGTAACTTTGGGGCTTATGATACAGAACGTTGATGTTTGATTTAAAATTCATTAGCTTCGAAGCAGGTTCTCATTGTTCACACAGTTCCAATAGTTAACTAAATCTGGGATTAGTTCGTCCTAGACATGCACTAGCTGGACTATTAAATGTAATAGCCATCATTACAAGCAGTTAAGTGTTATAAATCCGCACCTAACAAGCAATTTCGTACAGAAAATTGGCCGGTAATTTACCTTTAATGAAATGAATGGTGTTTTTTCGGGATCAAACTCCATCAGAGCATTGCTACATAACAATTGATTTTTTGACGGCATTTCCATTTCAACACTTATCGAATTTTAAAAACACAGTAAATATTTTACGACAAGCACGTAAAATGAGTTTGGCTGTATCCATAATAAAAAGCTCTCCATTGATTTTACGACTGCTTATATATAATTTCAGGCCTGCATTATTTATTTTACTGCCGCCGATTTGCAGGAAAATGCCATATAAAACTTCATGGCCAAACAAAATGATACATTTTAAGTGAATATGGTACATTGCCAGCAGCATAAAGTGTTCACTTTGGATATTGTACTACAACAGTTGGGCACAGATTGTACATTATGAGAATTATTACTATTACGAGTTTGGGTGTAAACTAGGCAAGTGTGTACGGATTTATTGTTTATGTTGATGAATTTCAGCAAAAAAATGATATTTTTGTTTAAAGTATGCCTTATGAAAATCAACAGACTATACATGGTGTATAGTATAAGTATAGTGCATTCTCAATAAGTTTCCGAGATTTTAGAGGGTGTTGGAAAATTAACTTTTGATCAAGAATAATTTTTTATTTTTCTAAGGAATTTTTGATATCATATCGATCTTCGGACAAAACCACTATGCATTCAAGACGATGATTATTTTAAAAAAATTTCGAAAACGGTTGTTCTAGCAATTTTTGATGCGAATACCTTTTATACATTAAAATTAGATTAAAATTAGGCATTCATTTTCTAGCTAAAAAATATAATACAACCGTGTATGAAAAAGTGATGGCGCTTAAAAAGAGAAAAAGACATGTAGATGTAGGTAGCGCCCTTACGTGTTTAGAACAAACGAAATTTGAGCTGTAGCTTGATAAGTAAGGCTTTGCCGACCCTGTAGAACCTTAGCGAATATTTGTCTTAGAAATTGCTGAGAAATCGCCCGGTGAAATATCCGACACTTATTAAAAAACACCCGGTATCTGCGGTATAAACACGGATTTTTTTATATTTTCGGTAGCTTTCATGACGTGAAAATTATAGTTGCAGGCACTCGAGTAATTACTAATTTTTGCTATAAGGTATTATGTGTTGTATAATTCGAGTTGCTTTGTTGGATGAAAAGATTAGGATAAGGATAAATTTCAAAATAAAATCGAGGAAACCGCCAAACTTGTTTTTTCATGCAAAAATTACCAATTTTGAAAATTTTATGGTATTTAGCATTAAAAGTAATGGTTTTCTATTCCAGTGTTTGGTTTTCCAAATATTGTCAATTTTATGTGATTCTTCTGGTGCGGATTTTAATTTGAATTTAATTATTACTATTATTTAATTATTCTTATTCTCAGTTAATTTACTGGCAAGTAGGTCAGCTATTTTAAGCAAAATAGCCATTTGAAAACATTAAATTTGCAATATTTCTTTAAATTCACCCTTATTTTTAATACTTTGGGCGCCTTTCTCAATTTCACATGAAATTAATTTTTTTATTCCCAAATTAATTCGACCATCTGCACGGTCAGAAACTTCTTGCATAAGTTGAAACTGATTGGGGTGAAGCTTGTGAAGCTTTAACTGATTTTCCTGGTGGAATTCGTGCCAAAAGGACCAATAGTGTTGAAACTTTTCCATCAGAAACTAATCCAGTTTTCCCAAATTTTGCTCTAGGATATTTTCATGTCAGACATTTTATCCTGCGTTTTTTCTATTAAATGCTAAAACCGCCTTAAAAAATTAAAGATTTTCTGCTCTCTAAGTGTAAATAATTTCTCCTCGTTCGGATATGTGTAAATCATGATTACGGATGAGAAAGAAACACAAAAAAAACTGGTTTTTAATACCTTTTTGCTTA